GCCCCATGCAGCCTGCTTGTTCAGTCGTTTGGTCATCCCTCACTAACCCCCTTGCCAACCTAGTCGCCCCACGCAGCCTGCTTGTTGAGTCGTTTGGTCGTCCCTAACTAACCCCCCTGCCAGCCTGGTCATAGGCTGCCATCTTCTGAGGGTGTGAGGGTTAATTTGCATATTACCTCTTTATTATATAGGAATATATATCATATCACTATGATGTATACCTGAAACTAATAGGATATTATATTTCAATCATATGCCAATTTTTTAAAAGGCTAGAAAAGTCCTATTTTATAGGAAAGCATTTTTGACTTTTTAAAAAATATTTTTATTTATTTCAGAGAGGGGAGAGACAGAAACATCAATGATTGGAGAGAATCACCGATCGGCTGCCTCCTGCATGCCCCCCATTGGGGATCAAGCCCACAACTCAGGCATGTGCCCTTGACCAGAATCGAACCCAGGACCCTTCAGTCCACAGGCTGACTTTCTATCCACTGAGCCAAACCAGTTAGGGCAGCATTTTGATTTTAGAAATGCCTAAAAGTATTAAAATCATACAAAATTGGATTTAACTAACATTTTACAATAATATTTTAAATTACATTAGATAAATATTCATAAATGTAGAAAGATCCCACATCCCATACAAAGAAGAGTCAAATAATGTTTTACTACAAAACCATTGAAAAATAAAAAGCATCTAAACAAATGATTTTTCAAGTATAGATTTTACACATTTTAAAGACAGTTTTGAATTATAATTTTCTAAAATCAGGTACATGGACAAAAAAATCTCATTTATGGAAATTCAAATAGTAGACCACTAAAGCACATTTATTTCCCAAAAATCACAGGCAGGGATCTGAATGTAAGAATGCTGTAAATAACATGTAACTGTACATGCTTTCAAAGGTATATGAGAAGGAAAGTTCAAGGAGCAGTGCCTTTGACCCACTAAGCTTCCTTCTATCCTTCCACCAACTTCCACCAAAGTTTCAGTAGTTCTAACAAGACAATTTTCTTCTGTTTAGAGACTGACTGTTTCTACTAGTCCCTCACTTTTCTTCCTTCCCACCCTTTTCTCAGATCTGATTATATAGGGACTAATTTACAATGTGAAGCTCTAATAACAAGAGTATTATTATCACATATCTACATAGCTCATTACATTAAGCATTCTTTGTTTTTACATTAGGCATAATTCTCTTCATTTGCAGGGTCATTAGGTGTTTGATTATTGCCACTCTTAATACAGTCATTACCCTTCCTCTCCTTTCAACTGATGGATGCTAGTCAGAAAATCTCTAAG